CACAGTATGACTCAGATAACAGCACAAATCTCTGACAAGTAGACTTTCATTCAGAGCAGCCAACAAAAGGGAACGAGGGCAAGGTTAGGGTTAGCAGAGCAACTGACTGGGAAATGACAACTGTCGGGCCCAATGCAAGACGAAAAGGAATGAGGCCCAGGAGGGGCTCCGCAGCATCTGCACAGACGAACCTCACCCATGGGAAGACGGGCAGCACCACCCCCACAGCCAGGATGAGCCACCTGCTTTCTGAAAACTCCCAGGCACAGGCAAGAGCAAGAGAGACACACCTGCTCAAGGGGGGCCTGCTCTGCTCACAAACAGAGCACCATACTCACACGTGTGTGCATGCAATTCTGCCAAACAGTCCACGGCAAAACAGCCAGACCCAACAAGCCAATTCAGTAAGGTGTTGGACAGATCAACATATAGACACAACTGAACCTATACTCACCAACAATGAATCCACCAAAAAAAATGAAATTCCATTCATAAGAAGAGCACCCCAAAGTGAGGAGTTCCCAGAAAGGAACTCCACCCAGAAGTAAAGGCCTCCTCTCTGTAAACAGTGAAACCCTGCAGAAAGCACAGGAAATAGGGCTGTGGGAGACCTCGCAGTCCAGAGTGAAGATGAACGACTTACTGTCAAGAAAGGACAGCGTCGGAACCACTTATGGAACCTAAGCAATTCCTATCAAAATACCTAAGCTTCTGGGGTTTACAAGGTGCCCCAGAGTCAAAACTACAGCAAAAGAGAAGGGGGACTCTCAGAGAGGTCCATAAACAAAAGGAGAGGAACCACTGAATCAGAAGACACCACATCATCTCAAGACAAACATCCTTTCCGAGCCACGCCCTGTGGTGCACACCTGTGATCCCAGCACTCACAAGGCAGAGAGCCTGGTGACTTCTGGGCCAACAAAGATGCTGTATGAAAAAATAAGAACAGGAGCTGGAGAGATGGTTAAGTGAATAAAACGTATGCAGTGTAAGTGTGAAGATCAGAGTTCAGAGCCCTAGAACCCACATAAAGTGCGTATTTGCAACCCCAGCACAGCTGTAGGGAAACAGCCCCCACCCCCGGGGAGGCAAGAGAATCCCTGGTCACCCTAGCATTCACAGCAAGGAACAAGAGACCCCTTCCACACACCAGCTTGTCACACGCTGTCCTTATGCTCGGGAGTGTTTGTACAGAAGTGAGCGAGCGACAGGAAAGTGAGCTAGAAACGCATCCATAACACGATGCTAACAGCATTAAGTGGGGAGAGACAAGTAACGCGGGGTTGAGGCAGCATTCTCCACTTCTGAGATCCAATAATAACAGAGTGCCTTGCCTCCCTCCATCAGACCCATACTTTCCGGCCTATCCTGTCTGTCTGTTCACTTCAAAGCAGACAGGATGAGCCACCGGTGTTCCAAATGTGTGAGCAACTCTTTTTGTTTGTCTGTTTGTTTTGTTGTTTATTTATTTATTAAATATACAGTGTTCTGCCTGCAGGCCAGAAGAGGGCACCAGATCTCATTGCAGATGATCGTGAGCCACCATGTGGTTGCTGGGAACTGAACTCACGACCTCTCTCTGGAAGAGCAGCCAGTGCTCTTAACCCCTGGACAATCTTCCCCAGCCCCGGGGAAGCAAATCTCATGCAAGAGAAGAACCAACGACTGCAACTGATTCCTACAGCGCCTAAGCATGGATGGCAGAGGGCAACCCCATCAGCAAGGGCCAGGCGTGTCCTGAATCCAGCCTGGACACATGGCTTAACTCAGAGCCCACCTGGTGACTCAGCAGTCCCCCAGAAGTACATATGAGCTCATGGTTTCCTCTAGGAAGAAGAAGCAGAGCCCAGGAAGACGGGACGGCAGAGCATGGTGCACTCACCGTCTGACTGGGGTGGGAAAGGCTGGTGTCACTGTGAATTAGTGCCTTTCACCACTGTTTACCTGGCTGTTTATCCTAACTCTCCACACAGGCCCACTCTGAGGACACAGGGGACATGGAACGATGGTGTGGAAGGGAATACGCATTCTCTACAAACATCCAAGTTCACTCCTACAACCTTGACTTCCAGAGTCTAGAAAACAGTACTTTCTTCCTTTTGAGAACCATCTCCAGTAAAGTCGGGGTCACAGAAGGCAAACCCCACCCCCAGCGGGATGCGCTTGCAACTGATGGGCAGCAGCTTACATTAGTCTCTGCTGAGTAAGAAAAGCAGCGCACTTGCACCAGCTCGACGGCAACCTGACAGGCTCCCAGCCGTGAAAACCACAGGCAGGGCTTGCAGGCTTCCCTATGGACAACCTCCCCCTGGGTGACTGGCCCAGAACCAATCACCACAAAGCCCGCAGACCCACACCAGTCATGACAACAACTGCCTAGAAAGAGCTGAGCTGCAGCTCATTTGTAGGTGTCACTGACTACCAGGACGTTTCAGTGACAGTTCTGTCACAGCAGAATAAAGTTTCCCCAAGGATGGGCCTTTTCTGAGCATGAATGTCAAGCCAAGTACAAGCTAGAGACGGGAGGACAATGCCCACAGGACCGTGGGGTGGTGAGCGCTACGCTGCCGCAGAGTCCTCAGGCTGTGCTCCCTGCTCTGACGCCACATTTTACACGTGTCACACGCAAAGCTGCACGGACTGAAACGCATGCCTTATAAAGAATCAGACCCCATAGCTGGAAGCTGAGTGAAAAAAGCTATAATTTGGTGACTGGGGGGTCCCATAGTTTGTCTATAAAGCCATTTTGAGGTGGGTAGACAATAAAACACTACAGGCCAACTGCTCTCCTTCCGGATGGCACATTAACAATGAGACGGGACTCTGGGGTTTGAGACAGGCATTGCACAGAGAGGTGAAAGAGCTTAAGCGGCGAGCTGGACTCCGGACAGACATCAGTGGGCTTGGTAGCAAGTTCGATGCATGACCCCACCATAATCAGCAGAGTAAACAACCAGCTGAATGTGTCTTTGTCGCTTGCTGATGTGCACTTACACTTCTCATTGTGAAGCAACGATTTTTATTTTTCTGGTGCCATCAAGTGGCAACATTATGAAGTGTCCCCAATAACTTTCAGACAGAAAGATGTCACCTATGCTAATTAAACACCCATGACATTTTAGCAAGCCGGTTATGTTTGGAAAAAAAGGAGGACCATGCAACTCAATCGAAGCCACTGCCAAGCCGGTTGGTGACGAAAGTTAGGGAAAAGAACGGAAATGAAGAGACGGAGCACTCCACACACAAACCCTAATGACTATGAAAAGCCTGAAAACAAAATGGGTTCAAAACCATCCACCAATCAAAAGATAAAAACAAGTTACTTCATAGCTAGTTTCTCAACTTGAAATGTTGGAACTCCCAGCTAGAACACATTTTTAAACACTGAAGTTTCGAAGATAGAGTCAGCTGTGGAAACTCAGTGTCGCAATAAACGTCAGCGTGAGGACAACCTCACCGCTCTGGGACCCCAGCTTCAGGAACAGATCGACGACACTTTGCAACCTGCACCCAGTCTAGGATGGCGATGGCACACACCCGTCCCCACACTCCTGAGAGGACACCGGCACGGTAGCAAAAGAACTGACTTGAGGCAAAGCCCTACAAAAGAGCAGAGCTGAGAGAACTAAGAAGAGCAACAAAACCCTACAAACTAGGAAGCAAATGGATGAGAAATGAGCATCCCATGGCCCCTTTTTGTAAAAGAGGAGACGCGGCCAGAATGCAGCAGCTGGCAAACACACAACACACTTCCATGGCCCAACAGAGACCCTCAAGATGGGGGCTGCGGAGACGACTCAGCAGTGATCAGGGCTCTGCTCTCCTAGAGGATGCTGGTTACCAGGCGGCTCACAAACAACCATTACGTCAGCTCCAGAGGGATGGATCTGTTGCTTCTGTGGGCACAATATGCTCACACGAGCATGCCTGCCCTCCCCCAAAACTAAAAGTAAGATTAAAAAGCCATCTTCATAACTATACACGGTCATAGGGGTCATTTGGAGAGAAAAAACAAAACAAACAGAAAAAGTCCAGCAGTGAGGGCACTTGGGGCACTAGGTAACCAACAAGGTAGAAACCAAGGCTAAAAAGGAGGATCGGGGCTGGAGAGGTGGCTCAGTGGTTAGAGGCGCTCTCTGCCCTTGCAGAGAGCCTGGTCAGCTCCCGGCACCCACACAGCAGCTCACAGCTGTCTGTCACCCCGGCCCCAGGGGCTCGACGCCTCCTTTTGACCTCCCAGGCATCAGGCTCGCATGTGTGCTCGCACACACACACGCACACACACACACATACACACACACACACAGGCAAGCACTCACATGCATAAAATACAGTCTAAAACGGTGTTTTCTAAGGAGAAACCCAGTCAAAGTGCTTGACAAGAAGCAGTGTGGAAACACACACACTCCAGGAAGAGGGCAGAGAAGGTTCTAGAATAACAGGATACCATGCGTACTGAGAAAATACTGAAGGAAGTGTTAACGGACAAGAAGCAGCATCCACAGGTCAGCGCAGGACAGCAGCAGCAATGACTTTCTAGACACGGAAGAAAGTCACAGAGGCCTTTGACTGTTACGTCCTGTCCAAGAAGTCACTTCACCAACTACAGGGCACTTTATTCTGTCTGTGATGAAAAAGAAAAGTACAAAAATAAAGTCTGGTGCTTAAAAAAAAAATCGGTAAGTCCTGCTTAGAGACACCGAACTGTGCTCAGCTCCACACATGGCTATCACTTGCACTAAGCAGGTGAAGGTGACAGTCACTGAGAGCGAAGTCAGCAGCTCTGTGACTACTACGGTCAAGTGAGGGGGAAGACTGCCACCCCATTTGCACAGCACACGTGGGGATGATGCTCAGCGCCGAGCACGGGGACCACGCGGCTGGTGTGGTTTCTCATTTCCAGCCCTGAACACAGGAGACACAGTGCCGGGCACAGTACAGACGGTTCTCATCCCTCACACCTCACGGCCATGTCAGGACGCACTGTGGGCAGACCGTACCTTGCACGCCTTCGAGGAGCAGGTCGACGCCCTTCCTGTAGAAGTCAGAGGCGGCTTCATAGTCGTCCTCCTCCTCCTTCTTCACGGCCAGCTTGATGAGCTGCCCCGCTCTCTCCAGGTAGTCTCTCCTGCCCAGCCTCGGCTTCAAGCTGCTGGGGAAGAGGCTCCGGCTCTCCCGGTCTTCGGCTCGACTGGCTTTGCTGTCAGAAGCACCAGGCCCTGCGGCTGAAGAATCCGCAGACAGACTCAGACCCACAGTTCTACCGGGGGAACCCTGCCAGGAAGCCATTCCATCGTCTACCTCTGCCCCGGAGTCCGCGTCAACTGTGAGGGACGTGAGGTCGCTGTCGCTGGAGAAGCCTGGAAGGAGGAACACAGCAGCCGGCATGAGACTAGCAGTAGCCACGGGCACAGGCCGCACACACTGCCCATCCTCCCGTAACCAGCGCAGCCGGGGCAGTGTGGCCTACTGGCGGCTGGCGGGTTCGAGCCGACTGTCTCAGCCTGGGTCATCACTGCAACGTGTAACCCTCCATAACTTGGGTTCCAAGGGATTCAACACCTTCTTCTGGCCTCTGAGGGCTCCAGGTACACACTTGGTACACAGACATACATGCAGGATAATACTCATGTGCATAAGATAAAAATAAATCTCTCAAAGTAAAGCCCTAAGATTATTACACATTAATGTACTTTATGAAAAATAACTACATTTGTCAAAAGAAAGAATATTTATCGAGAGAGTGGCAGTCTGATATTTCTCAAGTCTCGGTGTCTGACTAAACAGAACATGAGGACTTTCTGACCCTTGACCTCTGTCATCACACGGTTGTGGTTGGAAGACGTGGATAAAAGGGAAAGTGTTGTAAGACAACCGTGTTTCCTGTGTCCCCTGTGTTATTGCCAGGGGGAGAGGGTCAGAGAGCACTCTGAGAAGTTAGTTCTCTCCTTCTACCATGTTGGTTCTGGGGCCCGAGCTCAGGTTGCCAGGCTTGGCAGCACACACCCGCGCCTGCTAGCCAGCTTGTCTGGCTCCTATCTTCCTGTGACACCGAAACTCCGCAGTGCTTTTGAAGCAGGCTGCCATGTGGATACATAGACTCTCAACAGTGAAATTTGTGGGGTTGACTGCATTTAAACCCATTGGTCTGTCTTGAATAATCTTTTATCTGTGCTGTTTATAGCCTAACAAATGCATTATTTCTAGCATGTTGGTTCCCTGGGTGCCACAGATCTTCCAAATATCAGTCTCCCATTTCATTATTATGGTATAAAAATCACATTTCTATGCCATAATAATGTGCTTACCCCTAGTAATGTGATCTTAGTTCAGGGTCACCTTCTCCAACAGTTCGATTCCTCTTGCTTTTGTGTGTGGCATTCAGTGCAGAGGTGACTGCATTTTCAAACGGGCTTTGGCCTTGTGGACCCTTGGAGCCCTCAGGAACACACACAGGTCTCAACCTTCATGGAGCTGCTGATTCCAGGAGTCAAGACTCAGGATCACATTGCCTGAAGCACTTCGGGCACAGCTGGAGATCTGCACTTCGGTTTGCTGGCTTTGATTTGGCAGGGTTTGCCTTGGTTTGGTTTTTTTTGATGATTCTGTGCATCAAACCTACCACAAGCATTCTACCGCTGAACTACATATCAGGACCAGCACTACCACTGACTATGAAATGTCAAGTTTTCAGAAAAAGACATTTCCAAAAATAAGTTATTTCCACAGGACACAACGCTAAGAACAAAAATTGCAGGTGAATCAGACTACACATCCTAAGGGACCAGCAAATTCCTTGTCTACAAAGAGCCAGACAGTAAACACTTCAGGCCCCGCAGCTCCGTGATCTGCTGCGGCAGCCTGACTCCTTGCTGACCGGCCTGGACAGGTGAGCATGGCTGGACTTCAATAAGACTTTATCTGTGGACACTAGACTTTAATTGCATGTAATGTCGTATCAAAAACTAATATTCTTTGTGGTTTTTCAGCCATTTAAAAACATAAAAGAACATTCTTCATTCACAGGCTGTAGGAAAACAGCTGGAGGCAAGTCTGTCAACCTGTGGTAGCCTCAGATTGCTTATTTCCCAGCAAAGAAAGTAAAGTAAGAACAGGTGACCAGTAGCTAAGCTCCATGTTCAAATCAGCTTTACACATGACTCTGACACCTCATCAATATAGCAGTGTTTTCATTTGTTCCTTTTTTGTTTGTTTTCTTTCAAATTCTTAGGGTCCCTATGAAGGACTACCCTGTTCCCAAGAGAGGAACTGATTTCATTAAACCCACAGTTTCAAATAGGTATTGCTGGACATGGGGAATATCGGGTCAGTTCTTGACATTCTGGTGAGGCAGACAACATCTGGTAGATAGCATTTTCTAGTCAAATATTCCTGCAACATCCAAGTTATTCGCCCCCTATTCTAAAAAACTATATTAACTTTGTGAGTACTTTTAAAATACTTTAGAGTGTCGATGCAAACTTATTTCCTTAGGTGCTGCCATTATCTGACTACTGGTTTGAAATTAACAAACAATTGGGCTGGGGGAAAATTCTACACATCCAGATAATTAAACGGGAAGGGATGGGAATGTCTCTGTGTTCTCCAGTGCCTCTCAGCTTGAGCAGGGCCCCCTCTGCCACACAGCCTCCTCGCTGGGACCTCCACGCCCCCTCTGCCACGCCCTCCTCTGTGGCTGTCCCACGCTGCGCCTGACTTCCCTTTCCCAACAGGACAAGAAGGCAAGCAGGTGATTATGTAAACTCAGTTTCTTGGCTTTTGACCACAAAAATCTAAGAGCATAGTTTCACTTCCTCCTGCTTTTACAACTTTATTTTATCAGCAAACGCAATCCTAATTACGTATATAAGTGCACACATAGAGATGTACAAAGAGACATGATCGGTAAATACACACATGTATATATGCACACGTGTAGCTGTATAGATAGAAAGGAAAATGCATGTGTATATGTGCACACATATAGATGTATATAAATATGGTGTGTAAAAAACACGATTGTGTATGCAAAAGTCTTTATTTACTTAAGTACATCTGCCACTCGCTATGGTCCTTTTATAGAAACTGCATCTGAGCATCACATGAGGTGAAGACTACAGCCAGAAAGGGAGTGAATGAGTGGTCACAGGGAGCTACAAGCATGTTACAGGCCGTGGGTCTCGCTGTGGAGGAAGGGCAGGGGCGGGGAAGGGCAGCTCGGGCACTTGATACAATATACAGACTGCTTGCCAAAGCCCAGCCGACCTACAGCCAGCCCATCCTCGCGGGGACCCTTAGGACATGCGCACCCTTCCGCAGCACCGTCACTCAAACCCTACCCTCTTTTGGAAGTGATGCAAGGGGAAGTCAAAGGTTCCATGAAAGTCTCCTGCCCCCAGGTGTGGATCACAGAGACTCCAGTCTCCGCGCTATTAGAGGGCCCCAGGTGACTTGTTAAAAAAGCAGCTACAGACACGAGGGGTGTGTTTAGCATCCCAGTCCACCTGCCTGCCCTCACCTCTGGGCTTTGAACTGTGCAGAGTCAGGCAGTAGAGCGGAATCTGCCTAGGACGCCATCTCTGAAAGACGGGCCTGGGGGAAAGGTTGAGCTGCTGCACACGGGAGCTTTATACTATGAGCCATCAGAACCCCGCATTTGAAGACCTTCTGCACAAAGAGATCGGCCTCCTTTGACAACAGGTGGCCTCTCATGGGTGACTATATATAAAGCACGTGGCCTCGTTACTATTAGCTCATCGCCTCTACTCTACTCTGCGGTTCAAACATTGCCACAGTCCACCAAAGGGAGTCTCTACTTGTCCCAGCAGCAATCACTTCTGCCATGTGCAAAAAAAAAAAAAAAAGCACCCAGCCCAGAGCCAAGATTACCAGGAGGCGAAGGGCGTGAGGACCTGATAGAACGCATCCGACTCCGTGAGAAACAAGCCCTTCTTAGGGGAGGGGCTCATGAGGCCCCATCCCTAGCTGGGAGGGGACAGCAGTTAATGGCTGCTGGGAGAACAGCCCCTTTTCTTCAGTAGCGTAGCCGTGGAAAGAAACATATGCTTCCGTTAACGGCTGCACACCCACACTCATCGGTAACCTGACTAAACCCTGACTAAACTCAGTGGGGAAAAGCAGGAGGGAAATTCGCTGGGGAGAAGACGGGATCCAGAAAGAGCGGGCAAGTGTGAGAGGGTGAAGGGATACTGTATGCATAAATGGAAGTGTTGAAGAATACATTTCTAAAGAGAGAAAGGAAAGAGGTCCTTCTAAGTGTGCCTATGGGAAATCCCTAAACCCAGAGCCGTGCGGTAGTCACAGATCTGGTACTCGACAGCTAGGAACCAAGAAGAACTAGCCTTGCACAGTCCCAAGGCTAATGAGAAGCCCATGCGTCAACTCTGAGAAACTGGAGTCCCAGAGACTCTGCGGTGCATCTGCTGGGAACAGAAGGGGCTTCAAAAAGCCGGCGCCGCTCCCACGCACAGCCCGGGGAAACGTGGCTGACTGAGCTCTGGCCCAGCTCCCTTTGCGCTCAGGGGCCTGTTGTTCCACTGGCCATCCTTCTGTGGCTCCGGGGTCCAACTGTGTCACCCTACACATGCATGTGTACAAGTGTACCTGCTACGAACACGCAGGTCCCTCTGAGGCCACAGTAGGCCATGGAATCCCCTAGAGCTGGAGTTAAAAGAGGTTGCAGCCGCCCAGCACAGATTCTGGGAACTGAGCTCAGCAATTGCTGTCCATTCGAACCCTGAGCTTCCTACACCAAATACACCAAATACACGCCCAAACTCCACCAACTCCCACGTCTAGTTGAAAAGGAAGGCATTTGGATAACATCTAATGTTCCTTCTAACCCAAAACCCAGGTGACCAAAACAAATCATGAACGTTTTATGTGGCCCACCCTGCCACAAAGTTCGGGATACCCAGTGCTACCCTCAACAGCCCTGGAGGGCCCTCTGCTCCACAAGCAACATTCACACAACGACACGCCCACGCACGTGTCTACCTTTACTAACATTCACACGACACGCCCACGCACGTGTCTACCTTTACTAACACTCACACGACGACACGCCCACACACGTGTCTACCTTTACTAACATTCACACGACACGCCCACACACGTGTCTACCTTTACTAACATTCACACGACACGCCCACACACGTGTCTACCTTTACTAACATTCACACGACACGCCCACACACGTGTCTACCTTTACTAACATTCACACGACGACACGCCCACACACGTGTCTACCTTTACTGTTTACTTGTTGAGTTTGGGTTGGTTTGGTGTTCTGAGGAAGGTAATCTTAAACTCACTACAGAGGCGAGCCTGGTGCAATCCCTGATTCTCCTGCCTCCATCTCCCAAGTGAATCTTCAGAAAAATCCCCGATTTATTTTAAGATTTCCCACTGAGGCAGACTTAACCAGTCAGGGAAGGTGAGCAATGGTGAGGAGACAGCACTTAGGAACAAACAGCATAACACTCTCAAGCTGACAGGGACACTCTCCACCAGGACACAGGATGGCGGAGAAGCCCAGCCCTAAGATTTGAGTTCTCATGGTGCCACCTTGTGGACATTTGTAGAATAAAAATTCTGCTTCAAATGTAAACTGCTTTTAATTGTACTTCCTATTTTGGCATGATACTTCAAACGATACAGACTTTAGGTTAATCTTAAAACAGACTTATGTTGTTAGTTAACTAACTAACTGAAGGACATTGTTATTTAAAGTGACTGCCTTGAAGCACAAACATTCAATTTACTAAATAAAAATAGCACAAAGAAAAAATTAAAAACAAGTCTTTTTTTATCCTCTGTGTATTTTCATGTATGTGTCATGCATATTTGTGTGTGAGCATGGACACAGATAACACAGCACACTGTGGTCAGTCCTCAGTGCCAGTTTGTTTGCAATAGCAGTCCTGGTTCACCACAGCACACCCCAGGCTAGCCCGGTCACCACAGCACACCCCAGGCTAGCCTACACGCTTCTGGAGAGTCTCCTGACTCCACCTCCCACCTCACTGTAGGAGTGGTGGGACTGTCACACGCACTGTCACACTGTCACACCTCACTGTCACACCTCACTGTCACACGCACTGTCACACTGTCACTGTCACACTGTCACACCTCACTGTCACACCTCACTGTGTGTGGGGTTTCCAGATCTGAACTGGTATATTCACACTCTAGACAGAATCTTTAGCCAGCCTTATAAAAGAGGTTTCTTGCCGGGCGGTGGTGGCGCACGCCTTTAATCGCAGCACTCAGGAGGCAGAGGCAGGCGGATCTCTGTGAGTTCAAGGCTGGGCTGGACCGACAGCCTCCAAAACAATACAGAGAAACCCTGTCTCGTAAAACCAAAAAAAAAAAAAAAAAAAAAAAAAAAAGAGGTTTCTTTAATCCAGCTGAAATAACTGTGCACTTCCCAGTTAATCCTCCAAAGTCTTAAGTAAACAACACTATCCAAAATGTAACAGTTTAACAGCAAGGCCACCTGCAGCCATCCCTCAAGCAGACCAGCAGAGGACAGAAGTGCACCCAGATGCTGTGCTCCCATGCCCACCACCGGCTCTGTAGTTCAAACACACAAGTTTCCAATGGAAAAAGATGCTCATGAACAGTTAACACGCCTGGAGGGACGGCTCAGTGGTTAAGAGGACATCTTCTTATGGGTTCAGGCCCCAGCTCACAAGTGTCCAGAACTCCAGTTCCAGGCCCGGCGCCCTCTTCTGACCTCTGACAGCAGAACACTCACACTTGGGTACACAGATACATACATACTTAAAACACTCATACACATAAAATAAAAGAGAAAATCTAAAGGAAAAAACGTTTAAAGAAAAAAACGTTACATTTTGTCTGAAAACAAACCAACAAAAGAACAGTAGTTAGGAGATCCAAAAGCTGAAAGGTATGTATTCAAACCTATGTGTAAGTTCGAGTGCAGCTTAGTGAAAACAAAGAGAATTAAAGCGGCTAAAAGTAAACCATTGCTTTGGTTGAGATGTGTGCCGTTAGGAAACACAGTAACCTCACCAGTACTGCCCTGGGCTTATTCTCTCTAGGTGACAGGCTTTGCTTAAAGTTGGCCTTGAAATGGGCTAAGACCCAGGTGTGGCTGGGTGGGCTCTGGCAGGCACTCACACGGCAAGGACACTGTCTGTGTAGGGGTGAGCCCACAACACTGACCTACTGTCTGTGCACCGTGTCTTACTGAGGTCTGACTTCCTCGTTATGTCATCATGAGAAACTACCGCGAACCACCTGGCGAGTCATTATTTCATTCAGCAGGGAGAAAGAGCAAACCTCACCAAACCAGCCCGGTGCTGACGTGCACAGCCAAAGGGAAGGGTGCCAGGTGAGGAAGACCCTCCCACCTCCTGTAGACAGCTGCTGTCACAACCCCATGTGACTCCATCCCCTGCGACTGAAACCTCTGGAACACAGGAGAAACGAAGTGTCTTACCTTCTGCACCACACTCGGGAAGCGTATCAGGCAGGGAATCTGGGTACTCGTCAGCAGGGCCAATTAACGCGGAGCCATCATTAACTATCCCACCCTGAAAGGCAGAGCAACCGTGTCTCCTGTCAGTGAGAGCGCACAGACCAGCGATGAGCAAGGTTCACAGGCTGTGGTCCCTACCGCATGGATTAGTCCTTTACAGGACACCAGATGTGGCACCGCCACACTCGGTGGGTAAAACAAGACCACCAGGGTTAAATGACTTCCACAGGATCATTACAAACCTTAGCTGCTCTAAAGACAATGTGTTAACTTTTTAATTCACATTTTTAAAATGATACTACCAGGCTTAATGTAACTTTTTTCTTAGGCAAGGTCTCACTGTCTAGCCTTTGCTGGCCTAAAACTCACTCTGTGGACCAGGCTGTCCTAGAATCCAGTGGCCTGCCTCTGCCTCTTGAGTGCTGGGACCTTCATACCCAGCTGTAATGTGAACCACATTGTTCAAAAGCTGACACAGATATTTTTTTTTGGGGGGGGGGAGTTTCGAGGCAGGGTTTTTCAGTGGCTTTGGAGGCTGTCCTGGAACTCGATCTGTAGACCAGGCTGGTCTCAAACTCACAGATCCACCTGCCTCTGGCTCCCGAGTGCTGGGATTAATGGCGGGCACCACCACCACCCGAGTTGCCACAGATATTTTAAGAAAATGAACCACTACAAAAGACAAAAACAAAAGCAAAAACCAGCAGCCAGTCACCTCTCAGTATCCTTAGGACCTGATGCTTTCACTAGTATGGACCATCAGACAGCCATTGGATTTTACCAAATTACAAATGATATCATATCAACAGCAATTCAGGTGATCTGAGAAGACATTTATAGAGAAAGCCAACTGTGCACACCATAAAGAAATGTCAGGTATCTTTAGTAAAGAGATGCTTTTATTTTATTTTATTTTCTGTTTAAATATGTGTGTCACAGGTGTGCCATAACTACAGAAGCAGAGGGTGTGAGATCCCCTGGAAATGGAATTACGGGCAGTTGTGCACACCTAATGTGGGTGCTAAGAACCAACCCAGGTCCTCTGCAAGAACAGCGAGAGCTCCTAACTGCTGAGAACAGACACAGCAAAAATAAATCTATAAACAATAAATAAGCAAACAAACAAGTGAATGAGCAAACAAACAAATAAATAAATAATTGGGCAAGGCGTGGTGCTCATACCTACAAACCTAGCACTTGAGAGGCTACGGCGGGCTGATCACTGGGAGTTATGGGGCTATGGTGTGGAACCCTGTTTCAAAGTTAACTAAGACCGAATCTCCATGTGATCACTACTTGAGTCATGCATCTAAGTCTGCAAATTCAGGTCTGGAAGCTTTCGCTTCTTTGTCCACTCAGATAGATGGCAGTCGCCATAAAGGTACAGCGGGGAGGAGTGACGGGACTTTACGGATGAAAACCCCAGGCACAGACAAGCAGATGGAGAACCCTTAAGCAATGACTTCACGGAAACACCAACTCCTCTGTGCTCTAACACGGCCTTTCTGTCCCCTGTCAACAGCATTCTGGGCCAACACTACAGTCGATATGTCAAATGTCAAGAGAAAGCAGACCCTCTCTCCTGACGCCTGACAAGACTCCCGGAAGTGAACTCTTCACAAAACGTCCACCTGACAAAAGAAACGGCCCCCTCAAGCGCACGGGGAATGTTCCCTGGGATCTAACATACACTAGGGGATAAGTCACTGTAAGGGATTAAAATCATACAATATGTGCTCTGATCACAAGAAAAATATTATTGGGGGGGCTGCACTTGCACGCCTGTAAACAGGCCCACGGGAGGCCCTGAGGATGGAGACACCTGAGGTTCAAAGTGAGACCTCAGACAGAGGAGACGGAGGACATGAGAATGGAGAGGAGAGAGGAGAAATGTGACACAGACCCAGAGGACGACAAGGAGGACAAGGTGACAACAAAGGTGAAGGCGATGGGAAAACAGAAAAGCAGCAATAGAAGAAACTAGAAAAATCAAGAAATGCGTAGACTTTACCACAGTTCTAAATAACCAGTGGGTCAACAGAAAATTACAAATAAGTCAGAAAGCACACCAACTGAATAAAAATGTAAGTAAGAGTATACAAAGAGTCTGGATGCTCAGGGGAAATGCCATTGCTGTGAACGCCTACATTTGACGAGAACGGTGTCGATCAGAGAGGTGGCCACCAAGTCTGACTCTGCTTGAAATGGATAAAGGTCAGCTTGGCTTTTCTGAAACTGTCCAGTCTTCACAAACTGTCAACATCACATCCTGTTGCTGTCTGAAACAAAGTCGGCAGCAGCTACATCAGGAATCCCTCATCAAACACACAGAATGAGCAGATGCTGTCCTCCCTGCTGCTTAGAGCCTGCCTGGCTTTCATCAGCACCCAGACCAGACTCTGAGCCCCGTGGACCACTGGCTTGCATCAGCCCTTCCCGTCTCAACAGGGTGGAACCCTCCCCGACTCCACTCTGCAGACAGCAGGGACGCATGAGAAGACAATCTCAGCGACACTAGACCTTTCCCCTAGAGCTCCACACTGGGTTTACATAAGCAGCAGATTATATATGGTCTGAGCCTGGTGTCCCAAACTAAGACAAAGGAAGCAAGAGACCGTCAGGGACAACGTTGTCACCATGGACGACTATAGGTGGTAACTCTGCAACGTCCTTCAAAAGATCACCCTTCTTCAGTCAACTAAGTAAGGTCAAAAAAATTAATCTTCACCTAGATCCACCAGCATCAGGGAAATTCAATATCCCTGAACACATGAGTCTTGGTGATCATATATCCTAGAAATGGAAGTTACACAGATGTGTGCTTTCTGCTCAAGAAAGGAGCAAACAAACATGGCAGTCACTCAGTTCTTTCTAGAAAACAAGCATGGCACAGTCACTCAGTTCTTTCTAGAAAGCTAATTAAAGACATGGGGGAAGTGCTTAAGAACAGAGACCCCAGGTCTGAGGGCCATCCGGCCGCGACATCTGTTACCCCATTGATCGCCAGCGTTGATTCGGCTGATCTGACTGGCTAGGAGGATGTCCCCTTCCTCCCTCACCGCTCCATGTGCATCCCCTCCTGAAGCTGCGTGCTTGGTGGAAGAGCACCACCTTCCCTGAATAGGGAGGACCATCTTGGACCAAGGGTATACAAACGAGTAGCTGTGCCCCCCTGCTAGAACCTCCAAACAAGCTCTCAAGAACAGAGACACCCAAGCCAGGTGATGGTGGCACACGCCTTTATTCCCAGCACTCAGGAGGCAGAAGCAAGTGGATCTCTGTGAGTTCAAGGCCAGACTGGTCTACAAAGCTATTTCTAGGACAGCAAGGGCTACATAAAGAAACCCTGTCTCGAGAAACCAAAATCCTATAAATCAAAAACTTCCAATTTCTACCCCAAAAGCAGAAGCTCTGCCACAGACAACAGAAGCCCAGAAGCTCGGTTGTAATTTCTACTTCCTAGTAAATAAGAAAACCCCAAAGCGATGGGACTTTCTACCTGAGTGTCTACACACCGAGGGAAAAGACCACGAACCTTGAAGAAGTCTTCGAGCTGCTTGCTGTTGTACAGGGCAGGGATGTTGGCAGAGAACTGGAGCAGGTCTTCAGCACACTGGCGTCTCTCTTCAATAACGGTTTTGTCAAATCGCCCTGCAATTCAAAGACAGCCAGCACTTAGGAACAGAATGACAGTTTGGTTTTGTGTGACGGTTTAGGCTAGGGAGTGAAGCCACCACAGGCCACGCTGCCCATCTGCGGTGCTTATCACGCAAACGTCCAAGTCACATCAAGGCCTCACAATGTTGTTGATGAAGTTAGCGCCACTGCAACTGAAAAATGGGCTGTATCCAAACCCAGGTCCTGCCCGCGTAAGACACTCAGTGTAGAAGATGGCCATCTCAAACGAAAGCTGAAAAGGGAATTTTAAAGACTTCAGCTTCCTCTAGTAATTTAATACCATAATTACTCACATAATTTTCCCTTTTCTACTCTTTTTGATTTAAAGAGAAGGCTGAAAAGAGGGAATTATGGGACACCTGTATTAGCAGTGGGGTCAAAAACCTCAGCTTGAGGCAGAAAGCTTTCATGCTGAATTCTGTATGTGCTGCTGGTGGCCCGCTCGTGAGAAAAGAGGCGCCCAGCTCGGGCGTGCTCCCCTCCGCAAGGGGATGCAAAGCGGCTCGCGCACAAGCTCTAACGGCACAGGCGATGTGAACGCCCACAAGCGATTTTCCAAAGTGGTGACTGCACATAGCTTTCCCATTTGATCACCAGTTGACAGGACACATGGCCTGCGTCACACTGGCTGCCTCGTAACATTTTAAAAATACCACATCAAAAGGACAGCGTCCTCAGAGCCTGAAAACATTCTCAGTGGTTTGGCAGAGTATTGACGGAGCACTACGACAAAAGGCACTCCTAGGGACCAGGACACTGAGATCCCCTCACTCGTGCCTCCTGCTTGTTGCCAATATCTATGTAACCTTTAAAAGTTAGTGTCCTGGGAGCAAGAGGAGATGGAGCTAGACCTGAATTAAAATACAAGCTCCTGCACGCCCCGCTAGGAGGTACCGTGGATAAAGTGAGTCACGGATTGTTGAGTCCCCTGTGGCCGCGGCAAGCTTGCCCACTATACGAATCATCGCGGAGTCTGGATTTTCAGTTTCAGAGTGTGTAGCACACAAAGCATGCTAGCAATCTCTGTGGCTGATTAACGAAGACAGAAAACCCTCTGGAAAAACTGTCTTACAATGGAACATTCGTAGAGAAAGCCTTACAGAGTACATTCAAAGACAGAAAAATGGACAGACGGAGCCACAGACAGACCACAGAGTCAGCAATGCTATAGCACTCCACACGCGTTCACCACCCTCAGGAGCCCGGGCCTGGTAAAGGTCAGAGGCAATCAGCTGCAGGGCTCCTGCCATCTGGAATTCTGGTTTCCTACAGAACAAGTCACCAGCTGCTATCCAAATAAAAGTTTTCTAAGCTCGGGCTGGCCTAGAACTCATACACCAGGCTGGCTTTACACTAGAGAGGATCTGCCTGCCTCTGCCTCCCAAGTGCTGAGACTAAATGCCACAATGTCCAGCCTCTCACACTCCCCCTTATCGGAAATGTCCCTGACTTTCCCCTGACATGTGCCAGCAAAGACTGCAACATCCCCTGTAGGTGGGGACCGAGGTCTGACCAACAGAATATCAACATAAGGCACACTGTTGCTTCCTGAAATCCACAGCCTCTCCCTGTCCTCTTCCGGGTCCCTTCCTGCTGCTGGGAAAGACAGCGATGTGGGAGGCAGAGGGGACAGGAAGGAGCTGTAGCTTCCGGGCACTGTGGCACCCCTATCCCAGGCTGCACCCAGACTGTCAAGCACGCAGAAGAAACAGCTTCCTCGATCTTGTACAAAACTGTGCCACATGTAACCATACTGAGGATGACCCTCGATGCTAAATCTGTCAGATGTCCCCAGCTCATACGCAACAAATAAACCAATTGTGCTGAAAACAGCAGCACTTCCCTGTCCTACTGGCCTCCCTGTCCAGCGTATCACTTGGAAATAAGATGTCAAACATCCCAGTAAGTACAACAAACGTCCGAGTTGAAATGCTCTATAAGGTATTCACTATTGAGACATCACGAGCCTGTGCCTGGAATGCTTCTCTCTTTAAAGAATACTTAGGTGGGAGGGGAAACGGCCGGGTGGGTGAAGCGCCTGCCGTGTGTCTTAGTAGATTTCTGCTGCTGTGATGAACAACGTGACCAAGTCACTTGAGGAAAGGGTCTGTGTGGCTTACAATTCCACATCACAGTTCATCATCACACAGTCAAGGCAGGGACCCAAGGCAGGGACCTGTAGCAGGAGCTGGTACAGGGACCACGGAGGATGCTTTCTGGAATGTTCCTCACTCTCTCTGCTCAGCCTGCTTTCTTACACAGCTCACGACCATCTGCCCAGGGCAGGGAGGGGCACCGTCCACGGGCTGCGCCCACCATAATCAACCACAGGCCAGTCTGGTAGTAGCATTTTCTCAGTTAAGGTCCCCTCTTCCTAAATGACTCTAACTTGTGTCAAGTTAACCAAAAGAACTAACCAGGACACCACACAAGCATGAAGACTTGGTTCTGATCCCCGGTGACCACATTAAAGCCAAGCACAGCAGCGTGAGCTATAATCCCACTCTGGGGAAGGGCACAGGACACCCTGGGTGCCGGCTGCTCAGCCAGTCTAGATGAATCTGCGGGTCCAGGTTCAGTGAGAGACCCTGTCTCAAAAAATAAGGTGAAATGAGATTGAAAAAGACATCAGACATGGACTTCAACCTACACACATGCACACCCATGTACACACACACCATGTACACATACATGAACACATACACAAAAAATAGTTAATTAATAGTGAATTAATATCACGGTATGCATCTATGGTTTTGGAATAGAAGCAGAAATAATTCACAGTCTACATAGCACAGGGTGAGGATCAAACACCCCATCATAGCTCTCAGAAGCCGTCAGGGAGGAAGGCTCTCTTCACACAGAGCAGGAGTGTCGACTCTCTACAGATGAGATCTCACTAAACACAGCACTGGTCACTGTTGCTTTAACTCACAAATGTAGCTCAGGCAGGCCACGGTGATGCACACATTTAATCCCAGCACTCAAGGGACAGAAGAAGAAAGATCTCGGTCAGTCTGAGACCCAGCCTACTCAACACAACAAATTCCAAGCCAGCAAGAACCACACAATGAAACCTTGTTTCCAGTGCAATCTGCAGTGCTCCCACCAAGATGATAATGGACTAACCCCCTGAAACTGAAAGCAAACCCAATTAAGCGTTTTGTTTTAGTTTGTTTTACAAGAGTTGCTGTGTTCAATGATGTTTCTTCACATCAGCAGAGCACCGACTAAGACAATACACACGCTACTCATTCTCAGAGTGTGGCGAGGTGTCCTGAGGGCCAGTCAACAGGGTCAACCGTTTTGTGACAACACCATGGCAGTTGCGGCATCTCTCTGCGCTGACACTTGCACTAATGGTCCATACATAACGGTAGCAAAATCGTGTCCCTCTTAGCAGGATATCAGGCCACCGCACCAAACCTGCTAATAATTATTTCACTACTTTCTGCCACTTACTCATATTTTTAAAAACTTTCGTGGCAGTTTCACTGAGAAAATACCCTCAATGAAACAGTAAAAGTTACTAAACGTACTAAATCCTGGCCCTTGGAGAACTCTTCTCTTTAAAATTCTGTGAAACAGAACAAGCTGATTAGTCAGACTTGGGGAGGAGACAGACATTTCCTCAAAAAAGAAAAGTGACTCTAACACTTCCAGGAAGACCACCCACTGCATTGTTGCTGGTGAGAAAATTCTAGCCAGGAGACACCTTGAGTTTGCCAGCTTCCCAGGACCAAAATTTTTAGAGATCTCTGATCATATGAGCATTTGCCAGCATCATCTAACCAAACCAGGAACCATCTGCAAGATCTACAAAACATGGATATCAAAATATTTGTCTTTTCTTACAATTTTTTTACTGGTATTTGCCTGCATGTAACTCTGTTTGTTTGGGGTTTTTTTGTTTTGTTTTGTTTTTTTGTGTTTGTTTTTCGAGATAGGGTTTCTCTGTATTGTTTTGGAGGCTGTCCTGAAGCTCACTCTGTAGACCAGGCTGGCCTGGAACTCATAGAGATCCACCTGCCTCTGCCTCCCGAGTGCAGGGAATAAAGGCATGCACCACCACTGCCCGGCCTGCATGTAACTCTGTGCAGCTTGTGTGTGTCCAGTGGCCTGGGAGGTCAGAAGAGGGTACCAGAACTGAACTGCAGCTACAAAAGGTCGTGAGCTGCCTTGTGGGTGCTGGGAGCCAAACCAGAGGTCCTTGAAAGAGCAGTCAGTATTCGTAACTGCTGAACCACCTCTCCAGCCCTAGAAAAGTACTTTTCAGATGGGCAGAGGATGACGTCACAAAGTCAAACCGAGGCAGCATGTGCCTTCACAGGACCACCCAAGAACTGTCATTCCTTCCTTCACAGAGCTTCAAATTCTACGGTGCAGCTATACCACAGGAATTAATCTCTAGTAAAGTTCTGGTCTACCAAAGAAGAATGTGCTCAGTCAAATGTCCCTCCCTTCCAGCAGCGCCATCTGTGACTGGGTTTCCTCAAGGACTTGGACCCACAGACAGCAGGTCACGTCACAGAAGGCAAACCTGGCTCAAATCCAGCTGTCTTCTTCCTCCTGCTCCCCTCTTCTCCCTTAGTCGCCACTGTGGTAACAGTGTTAGCTACACTCCATATAAACCACAGTCATCTCTGGCCCTCAGTCACCTTTAAGAAGGCAAAGAGAATCTCTGGGACCCAAATACCTACCCGCCATTCGTGTGCACTTCCTATGCGGATGGGGGATGGGTTAACATGAAAACTCACTAAAGAAATTGCTGAGGAAAGTGTGCTGCAGCTCCAACCAATCCGGCAGTTTCCCTCTGCCTGTGGTTATCCGTTTCCCTGTGCTCGGCAGACCCGGAGCATACTCTCAGTGACACCATTCATTAAGAAACAAAGCTTAAGTTGTAGAGTAAGTTCTTTGGGGTAGTTTTAGAGATGACAGCTAAGGTTCCTCACATGGCTGACTTCACTTTGGCTGTGCTTTTTTTCCTTGTTTTTGAGACAAGCCTTGACTTTTGTAGCTCAGGGTGGCTTCACACTCCTAATCCTCCTGCCTCGGTATCCTGACTGCTGGGATTATAGGTGTGCACCACCACACCCAACCTAGTCGCGTCACAAAGCTGTTTGCACCTCAGAGCATGCAGGAGTGGGCGAGTGGTGCACCCCATGTAGGACAAAGCAACGTGACAGGATTCTGCTCACTTCTTCCACAGCAGGACACTGAGTTTCTTCAAGGACAGAGCTGGCTTGGGTCCTCATGCCTGTTTGTTTTTAATGTTTCTTGAATTCAGGGTCCACATGACTTTCAGAGACATTAGCATTGGCCTAAATCTCATCTAAGACGACACTTTGACTAGCAGATCTGGGGCATTTACCCGTGCTTGCTGGGCACAGTTAGCAGCACAAGAGTGACCACCAAGGCAGCAGCAACATCAGCGGCGAAAAGCAGCCCACACTGTAAACAGAGCGGATTCAAAGAAACAATCAAAGACCGAGCTGTCGATGCTGGAGTCTGGACCCAGGCCTAGATGCAAACAACTGAACGGGAACAGCAATTAGCAGAAAGTCTAAACCCTGAGCTCAGGAAAGGGAATGACCCAAGGCCTGTGAGAGCCAGGAGGTCCTGACACTATGACTAAGGCCCCATCTCTAAGTCTCAGCTCGGCACACAGCAGTGCCTCCTCTCCAGGAATGGGCTGTGTAACAGCATTACCTATCTCATTGCTGTCATAAAACACCTAAAGGAAGCAGCTTAAGGACACAGTTATTTGGCTCATGGTTTGAAGAGACACGGTCTATAATGGCAGAGATGGTGAAATGTTTACTCATCCAGGAGGGATCTGGAAAGAGAGAAAAGACAGGAAGCAGGACAGGGTCCTAAACCTCAAGGCCCGCCCTACAATGACCCACTTTCTGCAGTCAGGCCCCACCTCCAAAGGCTCCACAGTACAGCATCATCCGGTGGGGAATAAGGGTTCAAACATCTGAGCACCTGAGACAGAGTTCACATCAACAACGCCACCCAAGGAGCTTCTGTGATATATTTCAGGATATTGCCCAAACTATCAGGCTGCCAAGTATGTTAATCCTGGCAACAAGTTTTAGATGCCCACCTCACTCTCTGGTGAATGCCACTGATGCTGTGATACCATCCAGGGTTCTCTGCATCTGTCCCCCAGTCCCAGTTTTAAGATGTGCAGAATGTCTTTAGGAAGTAAAGCATGAAGATGGTGAGTACTGCAGTCCTAAAGCAGCCTGAAGAGATCCCTGTTCTGTGGAGAGTCTGCACAGAGGAGGGACCAATAAACACAGCCGTTCAGAGTTTCCCCAAAGTCAGAAAGGGCAATGGAAACGTTCAATCAAGTCACTTCTACTGATGGCCTCTTCATGGCAATTCCAAAGCCAGGGTCACATTTGTACCTTTGGTGGGCAGCAACCCCACTTGCAGACAACAAAATCCATTAAATAGTTATTACTACATGACAAATGACAGTGTCAGGCAGTTACCACCTCAGACAGACTCTGAGGGTCAGCACCTGAAAGGCAGGTACAGCTGGGTGGCTCTGGCGCTGGGCCCCACCCTGTCAGCTAGCGCTACGGTCACCGAAAGGCTAAACTAGCACTGGAGAATGTGCCCCATGTTCATCCAGTCTGGGCACATTTCAGACTAGTGTCTGATGGCTGGAGTCCCCACTTCTCATCATGGGGGCCTCGTGACAGGTTAGCGGTGTCTTCAAAGAAAGCTGCCATCTCTCAGAGCAAGGACTTGGGGGATGAAGAGAGGATTAGGAAAAAGGAGGGGAGCAGAAGGAACAGAAAGAGGGAGAAAGAAAAGTAGGGAGAAATGGAAAGTGGTAGGAAGGGGAAAGGAGGGAGGGACAGAGAGAGGGAGGGAGAGAGAGAGGGGCGGACAGAGGGAAGGAGAGGGAGGGAGGGAGGGAGGGAGGGAGGGAGGGAGGGAGGGAGGGAGGGAGGGAGGGAGGACAAAAGAGGAGGGAGGGACAGAGAGAGGGAGGTGAAACAGCATCAGAGAAGCCACAGACGTCCACTGCCAAATCTCAGAAACAAGGAACCATCCATCACCTGTGCTACAGGTCACAAGGGCCAACCCTGAGATATCACACAGGATGACGTAAGCACATTGTTGGTTTGGATGTAAAATGCTCCCATAGACTCATATATTTGAATACTGGTCTCCAGCTGGTAGTACTTCATGGGTGGCCATGGAACCTTTAAGACATAGGCCTAGCGCCGGGCGTTGGTGGCACACGCCTTTAATCCCAGCACTCGGGAGGCAGAGGCAGGCGGATCTCTGTGAGTTCGAGGCCAGCCTGGTCTACAAAGCGAGTTCTATGATAGCCTCCAAAACAATACAGAGAAACCCTGTCTTGAAAAACCAAAAAAAAAAAAAAAAAAAAAAGACATAGGCCTAGTGGACAGACAAGGGACACTGGAGACAGCCGTGAGGGTCACGGCTGATGTCCCTTACAGTCCTCCCTCAACACGTCCTCATCAGTGTTGTGCGAGATGTCGCCAGAGATGTCGCCACTATACGCTCCCGCTAACACAGACACCATGATGGACTGTGTCCCCTGAACTATACAAGCTCCCACAACACAGACTCAATGCAGACACTGCCACCTCTGTATCCCCTGAACTATGAGCTAAAATAAGTTCGTCTCCCGTAAGCTGTGTCCATCATGTATTTTATCACAGAAGAGGAAAGTACCTCCTTCAGAAAACGGAACTAGGAGAGTGGAGCTGTGTGCTGCCTGGCTCACAGGCCACCAAACCGGGACACAGACTTGTGAGCTGGAGGAGCCTAAAAACCTAGTGACTGTTGCAGTGGGGTCAGAAACCCCAGCGGGGAAGGACAGGCCGGAGGGGAAGAGGGAAAGACTCTACCAGGGATTGCGCTGGGGGCCATTTGTGCTGGACTCCGGCAAAGACCCAGGCTGCATTCTGCCTACATCCTGAAAATGAAATGAAGCCAAGTTTAAAGACAATAATTCATTTGGTGGAGATCTCGAGACAGCCCAGCAGTCAGGTCTCTGTGCAGCTCAGTCAGCCAGGGTCACGGTGGGGGAGGCGCAGAAGCCGTGAAAAGCGCCCTCAAAACGGCAAACAGCGCTGATGCGCGTGAAGAGGCGTTGTTGGGGGCAGAGTTCAAAACTGTCCTCAGAAAGCCGTGAGACTGAAGGTCTAAGGCGTGCCACCGTAGGGTGTTTGATCTTGGCCTTGGGTGTCTTATCTAAACAACAACAGACTTGGTCTGAGGTGTGGCTACTCTTGACCCTCAAAGGCAGATAACAAGAAATTGAGTCTAAGGTGTGGTTACCAAATGCTTGAAGAATTCAGGAAGAATTCTCCTTGTATGTGATAAAGCAGTCTTCTGCATGCTGCCCTTTTTGGTTGGGGTATTTAAGAATGGTGAAGAATAAACTTGGTGCGTCCAGTATTCACTGTGTCGGCCTCCTGACTCTATCCTGTGTCTCTCTGTCTTTTTCTTAGCATTTTTACCTGCCATTTTCTCAATCCACACTCGACCTCTCAGATGGGAACGGGAAAAGTCAGCTGGATCTGACGGAAGACCCACAGAGACGGGTTACACCATTAGGCTGGGGCTGGGGCACGGGAAAGGCACTCAGAGGCCAAGAGCCAGCCCATCTGTGCTGGCTGGTTTCCCGTGTCAACCTAACACACACTAGAGTCATCAGAGGAAGGAGCCCCAGCTGAGGAAACGCCTCCATGAGCCCCAGCTGTAAGGCATTTTCTCACTGAGTGATCAATGGGGGAGGCCCAGCCCAGGGTGGGAGGTGCCACCGCTGGGCCGGTGGTCCTGGGTTCTATAAGCAGGCTGAGCAAGCCAGGGGAAGCAAGTCAGTGAGCAGCACCCCCCCACACACAGCCTCTGCATCAGCTCCGTTTCCGGGATCCTGTCCTAACTTCTTCAGTCATGAACAGAAATGCTGCAGTGTAAGCCAAATAAACCCTTTCCTCCCCGACTTGCTTCTTGCTCATGGTGTTTCATCATGTTATAGAAACCCTAAGACACCGTCCGAGGTCGCAGGTGTGAATAGCACATCCTTTCCTAGCTGCCTAGTCTCTCTGCCTGGCCAGAGATGCAGACCCCATGGCTGAGAAGAGGAAACACAGTTTATACGAACTATATGAGGGCATGAGAGACACTATGAAGCACCTGCTAAACTGGATGAACGTCACAGAAGGCGGAAAGACGCAGCCCAGACCATCAATGGCTAATCGTCACGTTGAAAACAGTTTTAGGGCTGAGCTGTGGATCCTGGCAGGTATGGGTGGGGTGGGCTGGGCTGGGCTGGGCTGGGAGGACAGGAATGGACAGGGACAGCGGGCGTAATTTCATAAGAGCACTCACCAAACACTATCCCCTTAGCAAACGGAGGGAACAGCTCTGAGTGCCGGAATAAGTTTCTGTGGATTTGCCATAGTTCTTTGTGCAGTTTCTTAAAGTCGCTGTATCTCTTCCACACAATTATCTGAAAAGAGAGCAAAACCGAAAGTGTGCTTCAAAACACAGCCATTCTGTCTCTGGGCCCCAAATAATATTGTCTCTAAGTATTCCAATCACCATGCATGGCAAACACATACACACTCTGGCCTTCAGGGGGAAAGGTGTGAAGGGAGCTGACACCTGCTTAGACTCTAAAGCTCACTTCTCCCCCACACGGCTGACTTGAGGCTCCTTAAAGCCTCTTAATTCATTCTAGAAAAGTATCCAACCTGGTACAAAAATGCTTTATGCTACATAAAATACATTCTCTCCAGTAACTATTGACCTGGGAATGAATTAGATGACAAGCATTATCTGAAATGTCATGCTTATAAGGCACAAAACAACTTAGGATTTTGGGGCAGGGTTGAGACAGGGTTTCTCTGTATTTTGGAGCCTGTCCTGGAACTCACTCTGTAGACCAGGCTGACCTCGAATTCAGAGATCCGCCTGCCTCTGCCTCCCGAGTGCTGGAATCAAAGGCGTGCGCCACCACCACCCAGTGGCAATTTATTTTTTAATCTTTTTTTTTTCAGATTTGTTCATTTATTTTATGTGCAGGTATATGAACCTTCATGAGTTTACATGTATCGCAGGCATGCAGGAGACCTCAGAGGCCACAGATGGGGACTGGATTCCCCAGAACTGGAGTTACTGGTGCTTGAGAGACATGTAGCTTCTGGGGAACTAGGACTCACTTTTAACCTCCAGGACACCTCTGCAGCCCTCAGCTCACTCAGTCAAATTTTAAACAAAAAGGACATGACATTCATCCCCTCCCCCTGCCCCAAAAAAAACTAACAATGAAGGAGAAATGGCTGGGAGGAAAGAAGAAACTGAGTTTTTACATCCCCTAACTTTTTTCATAAATCTTAAAATAACCACAAGATTTCCGGATACAAAGTAAACATTGACTGGAACATAATACCCATAATATCCATATATTGGGGGGAAGAGAAACAGTCCACTAGATTAGACAACATGAGAAGCAATTTGCTGTCATTAGCTTAAATTATTTGACCTTAATTAGAATGAATTAGAACAAAAAAAAAAAAAGAAATATTGATGCATGGCTTTAAAGTTCCTGTCAGCTCTGAGTTCCACAAAGAAAACCTACATTGTAAACTTCCCTCGCTCCTTCCCTCCCAAAAGCCTGACTACCTCACTTTTAAAAGAGTCTACGTGTTTTCATGTACATGCAGGGTCATGCTGATACACTAGGCCAAGGAGGTCACTAGACACGATTTTTAAGTCCTGCCAACTTAGTCCTATTGTATGACGTCAGCCTTGAAGAATGTGTTTCTTGGTGTTCATAGTTACGATTGCCTAGGTGGCTCTGTGGACCATAAGATGAACTAGACGACTCGCTTCTGCCCAGTGCTTCAATTTTCTTCATTTACTCAACAGAAATGGTCCCCAAAGCCAGTGTCCCTGCCCTGTTCTGGACACTACATTGTCCCTAAGTGTGAGGAGGGAAGCACAGGCCCCGCCTTCCAGGGGTCACAGCAAGACAAGAACAACAAGCCAGCCTGCATGACTCACAGAGGGCTTGATGGAAGCTGAGAAGCTGTGTGAGAGCGAGCGGTACGGATGGGCTCCCCGCCCGGCCTGCAGACTGAACAAGGCTACAGCGAGTGGCATCGTCGCCAGGGCAACAAAGCGTGTGGAGGCAGAGGCTGCGGACAAAGCTCCCAAAGAGAGAAAGATGCCAAAGATGGAGAGCCTGGGTCTTGGGGTCTCTGGCTGAGTAGTGGTGGCACTATCTCCCAAGGTGGGGAGCAAGGGGTGCTGCCTGAAGCCTGTCAGAACCCGGCTGTGCACAACTGGCCCACGCGCTTGTGAGCCGTTCAACAGGACACATGGGTTTGGTGTCTACGTGTAAAATACACTCGCTCCAGAGCAACCAGCAGGCAGATGGCGGCCACCTAGCAGCTACTCCTAAGTTTCTGAGATGGGACGAAGAGTCTAACGGGGGACAGTAGACACCAAAGGACCAGGCAGGAGCAAGGATGAAGAAGAGAAGCCTGGCTACGCTGAGACGCTCCACAGGGCCAGTGGACAGGAGAAACGTTGACCACCCAGAACCACAATTCTAGCACGAGTAGGGCAAGACCACCTGCCTCCTCCTACCAATACCTGGAAAGTCAGAGACTCAGGACAGGGACAGACAATAGGTCTCCTTCTCTGTAGCTTCCAACAGAAACATAATGTTGTCATGAGAAAAAGGTCATCCAGCTGAGCTGGACATGATGACTTGCACCTAAAGCCCCAGCACGCAGAAGGCTGGGCAGGAAGACCATGAGTTCAAGGCCAGTCTGGGCTACACAGTGAGTTTTAGTAGGACAGTGTGGCCTAGACAGCAAGAACCCATCTCAGAACATCAAAACAATAAATAAATATGGACCACAGAGACATAGGTAACCCAAACTATGCTTGTGGCACTCTGCCAAGATCTCTGGGAGGAGCAGGTAATGAGCTGACTGAAGCGTCTTCTGCAGGGTCGGTGCCCGCACGAACTGGGTATCACAAACCATGACTAAATGACCATGAAAACTAGAGACTATGAAGCAATTGCGTTTGCAGATAGAACTTCCTAGCTAAGATCATTTTCAAGTAAATGAGTGGTAGCTGAGGGAACCTGTACAATTGAGATACCAGATGATATAAAGCCATCTAAATTTGCCAAAGTCACAGCTTCATTTACCACCACATGGCCCTGTTCTACACCAGAACCAGAACACTGAGAGCAGAGAGACTCAGTCATTCTCTCCTCTCCTCTTACTCCTCTTCATTAAATCTCAAGTTCCAGAAATCCTCAAGTGGAAATGACAACAAGAACACGCTTCCAACAGACCAGCAGGGACTGGTGTTGGTCCTTCTGCTAAGACAGAAGCAGACACTTATTTTCTCTGATAAGGTCTGGCTGGTTCCCACTACAAGGATGGAAGCAAGCGTGGGTTCCCTATGCATGTCACTCTGAAGAAACCTTACCAGTGAAGCATTTGGTAAAAGCTCAACTTTTCATCAAAGCATCCCCTTTAGCATTTCAACACACCATAAACCTTTCCTTTTCAGATACTTAAATTTAATGGTGCCAAAACACTTCTTTCCCTATGTTTTACAGCATCACCTACAATATCTTCGTTTTCACCCTCATTGAATACTAAAAACTCCTGGGTGAGCTTTGCTTACAGCAAATATTATAACTGTCACACTGCTTATGCATCTTCTTTCTCCTCTTTTTTAGAACTTTTGTGTTACTTATTTGCGTGTCTGTACCTGCACACATAGAAGCCAGAGGTTGACATTAAGCGTCGTCTGTTCTCCACTGCTGTCCACCAAGGATCTGCCTGTCTCCACCTCCCAGCACTGAGATTACAAGCACAAGTACCCAGGAAAACACGGGAGCTCTTAAGATCAAACTCGGGTTCTCCTGCTTGCACAGCAGGCACTCCATGAACTGAATCATCTCCCCACTCAACTTTCTTAGAAATTTAGAGGGAGTTTGAAAAGGGAAGCTGACATAATATCCAGCGAATCTCTCCCTGTGCGTACTGTTTTAGTATTCTTAGGAAGAGAACCAATCTGGAAGGGTCAGCCAAGCTCTGCAAAAGAACAGAGACATTTCCCCAGCTTTATAAGGACAGTTTAGGCGCAGTTTTCTTGAACCAAGTGTGTGTGTTTATTAGCTGCCAAGAGCTTTGTGGAAACCTGAGTATATTCTGAAGCAGAAACTAGATCCATGCATTCACAGCTTCAAGAACACCAAAGGAAAGGACCTGGAAGCCTGAACAATAAAGTCTTCTAAGTGAGAATGCAAAGTTTAAACATGACAAATGAGAACCTAGAGGTACAGTCAAAATCTCAAGGCATTCTATGGTTTAAGAAGTCAGCTACATAGGAGACTAAATCTTTGCATCATTTCTAACATGAGAACATGTCTAACTGAAGGACACTTACAAGGGCTGGCTGATGAATGGGTCAGCAGCAGTTGGTATGAAAAGAGTTTCCCCCAGAAAAGGACTAAGGAAATGGCAGAGAGTGTGCTCATGGACAAGCTGGCTCGGGGTTCTCCCTGGAAAAGCGGACATCAAGGTACAACCACAGAATGGCAATCAGAGGTCACACAACCCATTTCCAAGTCTAACAGCTGTCAGCTCTCAAAACGAGAAGCGGCAGTAGTCAGACAGACGTTGAGCTGTAAAGTATGTTTCATGCTATCAGTTTCATGCAGGGAGAGAACAATCCATCATGAGACGCACATAGCCCTTCTCTTCTAAAATGCTAGCGTCCCAGTAGTCTCCCCACTAGGGAAACGCCAAAGATGTCTCAACCCCATGAGGGAAATACTGTAAAGTCTGTTTAAGGTATCTTTCACTGCGGTTTTAACCCATGAGGGAAACACTGTAAAATCTGTTTAAGGTATCTTTCACTGCAGTTTTAGCTCATGAGGCAAAACTACCAGGTCAGACACCAAGTCTGCTGAACTTGGGCCAGCCAGTGAGACAATCATCTCAAACACACGAATCAAGCCAGGTGCAGAAGTCCACACCCCGCCTACAGACACTCGAACCCCATTGGGGGACAACTGAAACCACCGCATAATAAAAATGTAAACACTTGGCTGGGGGTGGGGGTCCCCTAACAGTGCCTCTGGTCTCAAAAATGAATGGGAATCAAACAGGAAGTAAACTAACATGCGTCGGGAGAAGCAGCCTGCTTGGCCTGCTTTCCTAACCTAAGCACAGAGCGCAGAAAAACACCAGTGAGAATCCCACCACTCATGAAAGCATGCCAGACCAGCATCATCCTGGAGAGAGGATGACGCAGGAGAAGCCTGTAAAAGAACTCAACAAAAAAGTCAAAAATAAGCAGGGCTACCTGCGGCAGTCGTGACATCAGCTCAACACGGCGTGGGGGTCCGCGCAGCCCCTAGTCTACTGCTCAGCTTTAACACTGACGCTGATCACCCAGTACGAGCTTTAATGAACAGGCATCAAGACTTTGAAAAGGGTAGTGAGGCCATTCGTTGGCGAGCGCTGGAGTGGGGTGAGGGTTAGAGCCAGAGTTCCCTGGCTCCTCCAATTCTCACCACCTAACACCCACTCAGCAGGAGGAAGCTAGAGAAATCATCACACAAATACAAACACTCATGCAAGTAGCTGGGGCAGCTTCTTCAGCAAGGAGAAGAGGAATTTTCGCAAGGACAAGCATGCTACCTCCTGGACGTCTTCTGTGTTTCTTCGTGAGACAACCTAAAACCAAACAGACAGAAATAGCTCGTTATCAAATAAGATTTCACAGCTCTGTAATGACTTTCAATGGCATTTGCATAAAATCCCATCTGTGGAAAAGAAAACGAATGCCATGTTACTCACTAAAAGCTCAGTCAATGTGGTCATTTCCTCTGCAACATTCTCGGCCTCAGTCGCCGCACACTATCATGCTAGCAGGCTGTCTATCGCCCCTCAGGCCCCAGACAAACCCAAGCTTGAAGAACAACTGCGCCTGGCACCTGTGCACTCAACTCTCCACGTTTTCCCTTTGTGGTGCAAAGGACCGGAGCCAGCCTCGTGCGAACAGGCAAGCATCACCAGTGAGCTATCACCTCAGCTTCTGTGTATTACAATTGTGTAAGAATCCACTTAGCGGCTGGGCGTTGGTGGCGCACGCCTTTAATCCCAGCACTCGGGAGGCAGAGGCAGGTGGATCTCTGTGAGTTCGAGGCCAGCTTGGTCTACAGAGCGACTTCCACGACAACCTCCAAAACAATACAAAGAAGCCCTGTCCGGAAAAAAAAAAAAAAAAAAGAAGATGGAGCAAGAAGATGGAGCAGGGAGACAGAGCAAGAGAAGCAGGAAGGAACTCTGAACTAAAAATAAAGGGGTTGGAGAGATGGCTCAGAGGTTAAGAGCACTGGCTGCTCTTCCAGAGGTCCTCAGTTGAAGTCCCAGCAACCCCATGGCGTCTCACCCCCATCTATAATGAGATCTGGTGCCCTCTTCTGGTGTGCAGGCATACATGAAGACAGAATGCTGTACATAATTAATTAATTAATTTAATAAAAACAAAGGGGTTGAACAGTGGCATCAGTCCTGGCCATAAACCGGGTGGAGTACTGGTTGGAGTTGAGGGTAGGATAGGGTTGAAAGGGCCACCTAAGATTAGCCTGAGTCCACCAAGACTCTTGCCAGTGTCTATGGGGACAGAAACTGGAGCACAAGTCCCATCATCCCCCACCTAGCAGCCTGAGGAACCCCCTTAGGCTGCAAGGACCTTAACCCAGGCAACCAGGATGTGTGGCTCTGATGCAGAAAGAGCTTCAGAACCAGTCAGCTTATGAGGCTGAGCTGGGATTTAGTAGGGATGTTTTAATACAGACTTTAAGCACAATGGCTAAGAGAAAGAGAAACACTCCAAAGGGCAGACAGACACACCCAGGAGCACCATGTGGGCTTCTCAAGGAGACTCCCAGCTCCCTGTTTTTACTACTGCCATCCTGACTTTGATGGGGTTTGAAGTTACTATCTTTACAGGGTTGCCAAGACACCAAAATGAGCTTACTGGGTGGCCCTGACTAAGCATGCAGGATTGCAGCTGATAGTACAAAACTACCTCACAGGGACACAGAAGGGTAGGCTATCTCTACTGTTAACTAAGATAACTGCTACATTTGAGATTCTTGGGCTAAGTCTAGGTCAAGGAATGAGGCCCCGCCTAGGGTTATACATACCCAGGCCTTGTGTGGAACCCAACTATGTTGTCAACTGTGCTGGAATTCTGGCTTCTCAGCCAGAGACTTCAATGAGACTCATGTGTAACCAGGTCCTTCCCCTCCCTGTGTCTCCACGACGCCCCTATGGTTCTATCCTATTTCATGCCCACGCTTATCCTGAGATAATGGCCACACTCTGCAGTGTGGCCGACCTAGGGCCAAATGGTCAACAGATCACCATACCCACAGTCCCCAAAATCAGAGTGCTAACCCATCTTACCCACTTCTTAATAAATACTGTAACATTCCTTAAAAGTCAAGTCACAAGAACTTCTAGGGACTGAATACGTAGCTTGGTGGTTGGATGCTTGGCTTGGGTGTGACGTGCCCCCATTAATTCCTATGTTTGAGCACTGGGTCCCCAGTGGGTGGTGTGGTTTTAGAACCCTGTGGAACCTTAGAAGTTGAAGCAAGCTGGTGGCAGCAGGGCCCGGTCTTTGAAGGTTATGCCTGCATCTGGTTCTAGGCCAGTTGGTTCCTGTCCTCTACGTCATGCTTACACGCCACAGAGAACCCTGCCATGGCTTCTCTGCCACAGAAATCCACAGTAAGCTTTCTTCCCCTAGGCTGTTCCTGTCAGTTCTTTTGCTAACACACCCAGCATGTCTGAGGAGGGAGATGAGGTAAAGCCTTGCCACCACGTGTGCACATACTGTTTCAACTAATTACCATCCTAACAGTTGAAATCACCCTCTCAGACATAGTTAAAGGAGTTCCCTTTTCTTGAATAAGCAACTACTAGAAAATAAAACTACAAAAATTATTCAACTGTTGATACTGTATTTCCTACGCCATCAGAAACTAGTCACAGAAGGATGCTTAACACCCTCTCTCTCTCTCTCTCTCTCTCTGTGTGTGTGTGTGTGTGTGTGTGTGTGTGTGTGTGTGTGTAAGTAAGACCTCTTGAGCACAGGGCCCATCACCCATCCTCAGGACTGTGGCTGGGATGTGTATGATCCCACAGCCATCTGAGACAAGGGAATGCATGGCCTGAGCTCTCCAAGGCATCAGTGTTAAACTGGGTACACCCCACTTCTCTGAGCCCGGGGTCATCCAGTTTAATGCAGGTGGACACAGTGATTTAACCAATGTGAACCCCGGGACTTTCCAAAGGTGCCCCCACATAGTGCATAAAACCTAGACCAGGAAGAGCTCCATGTGAAACACAAATGTCCCTTGGAAGGGCTGATCCCAAGGTCCCTTCGACAACCCAGCCAAGCAGCATCACTGCTGTTCAGTCTCTGCACAGCAGACTCCACAGGAGCAGGGTCCAGAGAGCTAACTTGGATGGGCACTGAGCCACCCATTGTACCCAAGTCCTCTCATGCAACTCCACCATTAGGACTCAGCTAAGAAGGTAAAGCAACAAAGCACTATGTCTAAATGCAACATGAACTGCAAAATAAAGATAATAAAATATGACAGAGAGGGCCATGCCTTTCTGCTTCTCACAGACCCAAGTCTCTAAGAGTGGTGAAGCGAATACAGGCTACACAAAAAAGGCTGTGTGTGACACTGAGCGTGACTCCCTGTGGTGACCCAGTACACCAAAATTACATTCATCAATACACACGCAACCTTGGCTTTCAGACATTGGCTTTTAGGAAATATACATAATTTCATGTAGATATATTGCCATCTTTAAATTGCATTTCACACACATAAAACCATAACTCCAGCAGGATGATTAAGCATGTCAAAGCATTCAGCTCATATATTTAATTGTCTTCTTACCAAATTCGACCTCCAATTCACCGTAGCACCTGCATTTCAGCCCCTCGCTCCCTGGCCTCCCTGCAGAGACGCAGGTGTCACAGGCTGGCAAGGAGATGTGTGCCAGCCATCACCTGCCAGCCAGGTAGTCCAGCCCCCAGAGACAGCACCTGCACAAGCCATCACCAGACATTTACATTCTCTACTTCTCTGAAGCCAGCAAGCTCCCAGATAAGACAGACAATCAACGGGACAGATTCTAGGCATTCTGCTTTCTAATGAGTTTTCATGAAAGGTTCAAAGCACTGTAGACTGAATGTCTGTGTCCCCATAAAACTCCTAGGCTGACGCCTTCATCCTCTGATTACAGTGTCTGGATATGAGGCCTTTGGGAAGTAAGCAGGGGCTAGTATCCTCACAAGAAGAATAGAAATGGCCCCTCGGTCATGACATACAAGAAGAAGGAGACATTTGCAAACTAAGAATCAGGCTCTCCCCAGCTGTACCCTGACCAAGGGCTGGCTATCTATCCAGTGTCCAGAACTAAACGTCTCCCTGCTTAAGCCACTCAGCCAATAGTGTCTTGTTACAAAGCCCGAGAATACAGACTGACAAAGACAGGAATTGGAGGACGGTGAGACGGCTCAGCAGGTAAAGGTATGTTGCCAAACCTGACAACCTAAGTCTAAATCCTAGGACTCACATGGTAGAAGAGAACCAAGCCCCGCAAACTGACCTCCGGCCTCCATGCTAACACACACAGATAAGTAAATGTAACGAAAGACAGGAATAGCAGTTCTCTGCATTAAAAAACCCTCAGGAGCCCAGCAACAACAAACAGTAGATATTCAAATGTTTGCCCAAGTTGTTTCACTCCTACCAAACTTTACCAGCTACAGCACCAAACTACAGCAAACTATTTCCCAGCCAAGGTTCAAAGAAAATCAAAATTCAGGAGCTGGAGAGATGGCTCAGAGGTTAAGAGCACTGGCCGCTCTTCCAGGGGACCCAGGTTCAATTCCCAGCACCCGCATGGCAGCTCACGCTTGTCTGTAACTCCAGTTCTAGGAGATCCAGTCCCCTCACACAAACATACATGAAAGTAAAATACCAACCTACACTAAAAAAAAAAAAAAAAGAAAAGAAAAATTCTGGTTATGAAGATTTGCAATTTAAAACAAATCTGAGTATCTGAGATGTCAGTAAACAAATTTCAATAGATCCATTTACTAAAATCTTGGCATATGAGAGTTTTAGGCTAAATAGTCAGAAAGGAAGGGTAGAATAAAATGGCTCTGGACAAAACAGAGAAATCTGAGAGCCATCAGTTTTCCAACACCTAAGTGCTCATGACTTACGGACAGGGAGGCCAAGTGGAACAGTACCTAATGAGATGTTTTATGGGGGCATTCAGCAGCACAGTGCAGCCTAAAACCTTCAAAGGAAACTCCACTCCCTGCTCACTAGAGGTCCTGAGGAAGTACCTTCTGCAAGCCCCAACTCCCCCACCAGAAAGGCGAAGTCAGAGAGGGACTCACTCACTGGGAAACTTTGTGGGTTTTGTTTATATCAAATGCTTAATTCACAGTAAGTTGCATCCAAGTACCTACTGTCATCCGTCAATAAATGTTAGCCACATGAAATGA